TCTCTCTCTCTCTCTCTCTCTCTCTCTCTCTCTCTCTCTCTCTCTCTCTCTTTCTTCGTGCATATCTATGTTACTTTGTATTTTGCGGTGTTTCTTTATCTTCTTTGAATGACCAAGCGACTTTATAATAGCCAATATAATAACCGGAACGTCGATTAAGTGTAAATGTGTAATGTGTGTTTGTATCTCGTTGCAACATTAATCAGGTAACAAACCATCGCGACGCGTATCGAAAGGCCACGTATACGGATTATAATTCTCGGATGTAATAAAAATTTGCTCAATAGAGCCGAGCCTTGGAAAGATCTACTCTGCTCATGAGAGAGTTTCGCAAAGCGATTAAAGGATAATCGAGAAACACCTTAAGATACGCGCACAATGAAATGTCGCGTTATTCGATCGTTTCAATTTCAACGGATTGCCTACAAATAAAAATACCGCTTTAAAATATCGTGCACACACCTCCTTAGTCTACAATTTCCATTTCGCACACACATACTTCGTCCTTTACGTTACGACTGCGTTTTTTCCATACAATTCCTGTTTAGTCATACTCGCATTCTGACCGGGGCTTACCCCGAATAATAAATAGACTCCTTCCTCTCTTTCGTTCTCTCGCCTCCTCTCCTTCTCCCTCTCACTCTTTCTCTCTCGTGCCGCCGCTTTCGTGCGTCTCGATCTGCGTGCCCTTCTCCGTCGCGATCCACCTCCGGTCTCTCTCGCTCCGTCTAACCATCGGTAGACGGCTGTCACTGTTCCACTTTACGGGAGCGCGATTTCCCGAGATATCCTCTACCTACTATACACCACTACACGCCACCTCCGCCACCTCCTCCCACCTCTACCTTCCTCTCGCTCGCTCGTCCGCTCTATCTTCGTCTTTCTCTCGACTACTCTCCGCGGTATGCCAACCTTCCACCATGTTTCTCTCGCGTGCTCGCACGAAGCGGCGGCAGGAGGCGGTGGAGGTGGAGGATCCGCGCTGTGGCCCCCACGAACGCCCACGAGCACGTATACAGGCAGTTTCAGGAGGACAGGTCGATACTTCGGGAGGTGATGCTGCCCTATCGCGGGGTCGTCGGCGTTCGGTAAAATTCAGCAGGCTTGAGAACCCACTTTTTTTCTCTCTCATTGGAAATTTTTCACAAGTTCTATCAGTACTTTACAGTTTCCTTTACTTCTTAAATTAGGTTTGTTATCATAAGAGAAGAATGACGTCAAATTATACGGAATTTTCATTCTCGAAATTTGTTCTGCGAAAAGCCCTTCCAATTGCACGTAGCGCAAAAAGCTGCGGATATCTCGACCTTTAAGAAAGGTAGCATCGACTCCGAACTCATCGATCTGTCTTCAAGAATAAGCTGGCGAGTTGTGCGCGACACACCGTATATATAGAAACAAAGTGTATAAAATGGAAATGATTTTTTCACGCTAGTTTTTGCGACTCATGGACCCTGACCTTTCACGAGGCTTAAGAATTTGCGTTATCGTTATCAAATCGCGTAGTATAAATGCTATTAGGAACTATTAAGTATATAAACTATTGAAGTCAACAATCGCCATATGAATATTTAAATATATCAAATATATCAATATATATTATATATGTCAAGTGTGCGAGGCACGCGACGCTCGACGCATGTTTCAAGCACTGTTGGCGAAGCGACCGAAATAGACGGAATAATCGAAAAAAATGCGAAGTCGCATCGAGGAACCTGAGAAATTCATCGAGGGACCTGATAAGATAAACAAAGTGACGACGCCGCTATTGCGAGTAAACAGAGTTCTAAGAACGCGCGATTTCTACTTCGAGCCAATTATTCGCATCTCAAGTTAGAATCGTTCGAATTTAAAATGATACTGATATCGCAAGTGTGATAACAAGGATAAAGATCTCCGCTCCTGAAATACCCGGTATACGCCGGTACACCGGGCACATATGCACCGTACAGCCGTTCTTCAGCTCTCTCTCGCTTCCCCTGTCGCTTCTACCTCCCTCTCTCTTTCTCTCCTGTTCTCCGACGCACGTCCAAAAGTGCACCGGCAGAAGGACGAGCCCGCAGCACATTCGCTCTCTACCCGGCTCTATTCTGCCTTTCCTCTCCTCTCGTCTCCATCCCGCCCTGCCGTCCCCAACCCCCCACAACCGTCGTCTCTTTCTGTTTCTTCTCTTTCTTTACAGAGCGGAGCATGGGGCGAGGTCCGCATCACGATTTCGAACGCACGTTGCTCGTGGGAAAAATAGAAGCGAACGGCGAGTGAGACACCCTGCGCGTCGCGACGTTGCGACTCTTTCTCCTACCTAGACGAGCCCCGGCTATAGAAAACGGATTTTTCATTCTATCACACAGCTCTGGCGCTCAATTGTCGGCCGTCTTCCTTTACTTTCATTCGTGTCTCTCACAGAGAAACGAGAATAAAGGAGGATTGAAAAAAAAACAACCTTCTGAGCACCTTGATTCTCTCTGAATTGTACGAAAATGTTCCGCACAGCGTTGGCGATCCGTTCGTCATTGTTCCGAATTGAATATCATTTATAATCTCGACAAAATATATCGATTACGATATCTTCGTCAAATTGTCACTGTCGATCTACGCGCAATATTCCTTAAGCGAACAAGACGAATAATGCGTTAATGCGATAATGCTAGAGAACAACGCTATTGGCGGGCAGTCTAAGAAATTTCCACGAACGAGTCGATATGGAGAGTTCACGCGATGCAGAACGTATCGTAATTTTGACACGATGTCGCAGTGTCTATACTATGTCACATCTCCATATTTTTGCCAAGCAAGCTGCGAAAACACCGTTGTTCCGGTCTAAGTACGAAGATGAAATGTAGAATAATGATAAGACGTAACTGAGAAGGCTGAGAGCTTCGAACCAAGAGCTTTAGGACTTTACACTCCATGGCACAATAAAAGACCCTCGCCCATCTTTTTAGAGAACAAATATCTGTATATGATATTCTTTCATATTTGTTCCTCATTTATCAGTTTATCTTTGTCTATTTTATCACATGTAGAAGTAGATTAGAAACTGATTCACGGTTTCTCTCCACATAGTGTATCAAAGCGAACACGCGAAGGCGATTCTCGCGTTTCCTAACACAACGGGACGGAAACTATTGGCGTAAAATACATATTATTCTGTATCAGTCTTACAAAATCGAACATATATCGAAGTAACACCGCGGTTTCACTCTTTCTCTTTTCTTCCCTCCGTCCTTTCTTGTGTTACAAAGACGAGGGCGAAAGAGAGAGAGAGGGAGAGAGAGAGAGAGAGGGAGAGAGAGAGAGAATGAAGAGGGAGAGGGAGGAGAAGAAACATAAAGAGAACGAACTCACCTCTCGCGATACAGTAAACAGATCCGCTCTTTGACGACCTTGAGCCTCTTGGAGATGATCTTCTTGAGATTCTCCACAGTGTCATTACGATCCACCGTGAGCTCAAACTGGCCGCCGGTGGTCGGCGTGATGTTCACGGTGATCTCGTCCTTGTCGACCGCGGCTGCGACGCAGCCACACCCCGGCGGCGGTTGCTGCGGCTGCGGCGTCGGCGGTAGCAGCGGTGGTGGCAGCGGCGGCGGTGGCGGCGGCGTCGTCGTCGGGTAGGAGGTAGCTGCACGTATTACCGGGGACGACGTGGTTCCCCTTATTGAACTCCGCTGACCGCGGCACTCGGACTCAACCATCGCCATCGACGTCGTCGTCGTAGTCGTAGCGGTGATAGCGGTCGCGGTGTCACCGGCAGGAACAGGAGGTGCGGAAGTAAAAGTAAGAGTAGACGCAGGAGCAGCGGCAGCTGTTCGACCGGTCGAGTCGTCGTCGATCGTAGTCCGCGATTTCGAACGTCCGTCGTCGTTTTCGCCTCCCGTCACCGCCGTCGTGTCCGACGACGGCGGCGGCTCCGCACTGTCGTTCATCTTGTCGCGATACAACGAACGTCGATCGACGGTCTGTAACGGCACTGTACAGCGATAACGACCAACTGACGAAGACTCGGCTAGTAACGAGGATGACTGCAACGTCGGCGAAACCGTAGTTTTCGCAACACCACACGTTCTATCACTCGCGACTGCCCGCTCGGTACTACTTGTACGGCTCTATACGTGCCGCGCGTGTCTCCTCCGTCTTCCCCTTCTTCTTCTTCTTCTTCTTCTCTCCTCCTTCGCGCCGCGACTTCTTCACCTTCTCCCCCGCGCACGGACCTCGCGGCGTTCACTTCTCTACTGCGTTAGAGTCGCCGCCGCGACGCGCATACACGTCGTATCGTATCGTGGTCGCCGTGTGTATATGTATATATGTATGCACCTGCACCTGTGCTCCCGGCACTCCGGTCGGTCCCTTCGCTCCTTACCCCCGCGCGAACGCTCGTTCACGGAGCGTTGTCCACGAAGGCGACCGGCCCCCTCGACGAGCCGCGGCCGCGGGAACGCGCACGCGGCGAAGAGGAGACGCACAGCGAGCGACGGGCAAATCGCGAGGAGGGGTGGGCAGCGGTGGAAACACGATGGCGGGGCGGAGACGGGCAGGAAGAGGAGTGTATACGTACTGAAGTAGGCTGATTGTTGTGCGTGTGATATGCGATCGGAGGATATCGCGACGGAGGTGAAAATTGTTCGCAAACGAAGACGTAGCGCGATCGATAACACTGCGACGATAAAAAGCTTCGTCTTCGCGAGAAAGAGACAGACAGAACGTGAAACGATCACCACCGCTTCCTTGCGTCTACCTTCTGTTCCGCCACAGCACTTATGTCCTACTACGTACACAACTATCTGACCCTTCTCTCCTCCTTTTTCTCCTTTAAAACCAGCAGCACACCACCACCACCGCTACGCACCTTTTCGTCGTGTTCCTCCTTCCTCTTTACTTCTCGTGATTCTCTCACTCTATACCTTTCCGCCTGTTCGTATTTGCTTCTTCTCTCGGGGTCACGTGACCTCTCTATCTCACTCTCTCCCCCTCTTGCCGCAAAACCCTCTTTTATAGTCTACAGACTTACTTCTCTATGTGGTTTCTCACGCGCGCCCGCGCGCTCGCGTGCATCACTCACGTATGTACACACCATGACCCACCCTCGAGCGCTCGAACCCTGCGACTAGTGCCCGAAAACCGGAGCTCCCGGAGCTTCTGCTAGATTCCCAGACCTGGCGGCCGCCGAACCCGTCTAGTCGCTCTTCCGAAAAAACACGACGCGCGCCGAACATGGCCGAATGAAGCGCGGTACTTTTGAATATTTGAATCGCGAGTCGAATACCGACGGAAGTAAATTATAAACATATAGTTTCTGAGAATTGCGGAAAATTTTCGATGATTTATGCGAGGATTTATGCTAGGAGAAATACATTTGGAGAGTGTCAATAAAGGATATTAAAATCCAATATCGTTCTGCTAATTGACAAATTTTTAATGAGCTTTGTCAATACAATTAAATGCGCGGATGTTTAGATTTATGAAAATCTAAAATTAAAATTTATGAAAATCACATAATTCAAAAAATTATATTCAAGAACAAGAAGCTAATAAATAGAAGTTAATTAAGAAGTTAATTAAGGAGAAAATATAATGAAAATATATCACATATCCCTATATAAAAAAAAGAAATTGTCGCAAATTTACGAATCTTTTTTATAAAGCCTACAATAGATCTGTTTTCTTCAACTACATATTCTGTATTTTATAATTTTTGCTTCTCATTAAACAAAAATATTAACAACCATAATTACAATATTATTAAATATCTAGTTCTAATGCATCTAGTTCTAAAGATCTAATGCATAACGCTTAAATTACAAAAGCCTTTTTATTTCTCAAAAAGTATCTTTACATGTTTTCACAGAAACTTTCGCTTAGAAAATACGAATTACGAACTCATCAATTGTCTGTAGGATAATTTAGTTGGGCAAGATATGTTTCCACACTACATTTTCCTAACAATAGTACTGAATAATACAATGTAATGGAAAATGTTTAAAAATTTTTTTAAATACAATTTTTGCATAGAATATGCAGAAGAAAATAATTTAACTATAGAATTTCACATCTGAGCAATTAGATGTATAAGTATTATATATAGAACTCTCTCTCTCTCTCTCTCTCTCTCTCTCTCTCTCTCTCTCTCTCTCTCTCTC